GTCTAATGAATGATGCCATGGGTGGAAAAATAGCTCGCTAGACCAGAATCAATGTACTCACCCCTATTATCAGATCGCAATATTTTGACAATCACACCAAATTGAGTACAAATCATTTGGTGGAAGTTACGGGAAAAAAAAAAAAAACCTCGCTTTTGTCTTTCATAAGATACACCCAGGTAGTACGAGAAAATCATCTATAAAAGTGACAAACCATCTATGACCTTTCAAAGACACAACATGAGATGGACCTCACATTAGTATGAATTAAGGAAAAAGAAACTAAACTTTTATTAAAACTTGGAGCAAAAGAAGCACCGTGTTGTTTACCAAGTTGACAAGACTCACAATTAAACTTAGAGACATTATTGTTTGTAAAAGCGGAAGGAAACAAATGCTTAAGTAATAAAAAATACGGATGGCCAAAATGCCGATGCCACAGCCATAGGTCTTCCTTGGTGGCGGAAAACTTAATGGAATGATGTGCACCTTGTCTGCCTAATCTAGAGAACATGTTTTGCTCTACCACTACCAATCGTCCTCGTGATAAGGTCCTAACAAAGACAATGATCAAGAAAAAATGTCACACTACAATTCAAATCACGAGTAAGACGACTCAAAGATAAAATATTAACAGAGAAATTTGAAACATATAAGACAGAAGATTGAGGTAGAGAAGGAGTGGCATGAACTAAACATTTCCCAGAATAGAAGAAATAGTATCATCAGCAAACGTAACTTTGTCCTGACTTGAAGAGGGCTTATATTTCAAGAAAAATCAGAAGACCCAAACATATGATCGGAGACACCGGAATCAATAAGCCAAGGTAAAATTTTATGAGATAGGAAAACACTGGTAAAAGAGGCTAAGTTACCTCAGTGAGCAAACGAAGAGGAGGGTGCATCAAATTGAGTAGTAGAAGAACGACAATCTAGTAGGTGGCGCAAAGCATCCTCAAACTCAGAAGAAGGCATACCAGAGACATCACAACTAGATGGAACAACTGAAGATGAGTCAGGAGTATCAACTGCAATGGTATGATGTACACGTGGATTACACCCATGTCCTCAACACCGTCCTGAGCGACCCCCATGACTACAGAGCGGTCACCACGGCCACCAAAAAGAACCCCATGAAGTTTCCACCAAGTCCCCCGAGTTTGTCTCGGCCGGCGACAGTAATCACAGAATAAATTATCCTTCTTAGAAGGATTAGAAGAACTATGAGGCTAACGAATTCCATCTCTAGGAAGAGCAGAAACTAACGCTGAGTGCTCTATAAAAGGCGGTGGCAGCTTAGCAAACCAACGACTCTCCTTATTTGGCACATACGCAAAGGCCTCTTGAAGAGAAGGAAGAACATTCATGCCAAGAACACGACTCCGAACGGGATCATATTCCAAGTTGAGGCCCTCTAGAAACTTAAAGACACTTTCATGTTCAATGAACGTACAGTAACCCACAGAATCAACTGTGCAAGCGGGTTTATAATCCTACAGATGATCAAGGCATTTCTAGCCATTATTAAAAAAAGTAAAATACTGAAGACCAGTCATCTCTCCCTAGACGGAGAGCTCAATGGAGCGACGCAATTCAAATGTTTGTGAAAAATTCCTCGTCCGGGAATAAGTAGTAGTCACAACATCCCAAATATCCTATGTTGTATCCATAGATAAATAGCCCTCACCGATATCCAGGACCATCGAATGGACGAGCCACACCATGATCAGAGAGTTAGTAATCTCCAACTGGGCATATCCAGAACCAGTGATGCTAGGTGCTTTGATTCTCCCATCTACATATCTCATCTTCTCGCAATGCTTCAGAAAAAGTGTCAAACATTGCGACCAAGCTAGATAGTTCTGACCATTACACAGAGAGATGGTGATTTTAAGGCTAGGATTGAGATTTTCAGATGTAGTAGTCATAATGAGACTTCCCCCTTTAAGTGACTGAGAACTAGTGGATTCACTGGTAATGTCAGTCGTCTTAGAACGCTACTACCAAACCAACAACCTGCACTAATCACTACTACTGGGCGAGGGATAAACAACTGGGATCAAAGTACCTCTAATCAATCACAAATCATGAAAGGAGCAGTATACTTGGGCAAAAAATAGCAAGAGGGTCATATATTGACCCAAGGAACCAAAGAAGAGAAAGAACGCTTACAGGTCAATCAAAACAGCGTAATAAATGTCCCAAACTACCCAAAAACAGACCAGCAATAGAGTTGGGGCCAAATGAAGTAATCCGACCATGAAAACAGGGCGTTTCGGCCCTGGGTAGGAGAGAAGGAAAATCTGAGAGTCTCAAGAATGGCCTAGAGGGCTGTCGACAGTGGCCTAGAAGGCTAGAAGAAGAGCCGATTGGGATGGGGGGCAGTCGGCAGGGCCCTAGTAGGCTGGAGAAGGAGTTGACAGGGCTAGGAGGGCTGTCAGCAAGCCCTAGGAAACTGGACAGGGGGCCAACAAGCCTGGGAAGTGCCGAAAGAAGGGTTTTCTAGGTATAGAAGGGTATGGGTGATGATGGGTGGCTGCCGGAGTGATGGGTGATGATGTGGTGAAGCTGTGGTGGTGTCGGGTGGTGGTTTAGGAGCCTTCTTACTCTGACACCATGTTTGTTAGGAGAAAACAAACTTCGGGAATGATGAGATAATTATTCCCTTTTTATTGATAATATGTAGCTTACAATGGAAGGAGGCTTTTCCCAATATAAGCTTTTTTTGTATTTTATTTTCAAAACTAGGCCAACTTCTGACAGAATTTCAAAACTAAGCTAAAGCGCCATTACTATTCGCGCTTTTACTGTTAGGAGGCCAAAAGTTGATGAATAGTGAAATCGCTATTTGAAATCGCGATTTTAATTAAGAAAACGCTGTTCCAAATCGCGCTTTTAACATAAAAAAAATTTCTGAAGAAAACGCTATTTAAAATAGCGCTTTTACTGTGCATATAATAATTTTTTTTTTTTTTTTTAAAAACGCCATTTGAAATGGCGTTTCTACTGTTGAATCACCAACCAAAGCCAACCCACACACTGACACACACACACCAATGGGCACACCCACAACACTCAAGCATTGAAATAATATAATTTTTATATATAATAATAATTTATAATAATTAATTATATAATTTTTATAATTTTCGTAAATATAAATCATTTTTAGGTTATGAATGGTTTGATTTATAATACGTATGTAAGGATAAAAATTTTTATAATCAAAAATAATTTATAAATTATCAAAAATAATTTATAATACGTATGTATTATTTAAATCTTTACATTTTTTATTTAAAATTTTTTACAGTAAACCGATCTTCACATTTTATAATACGTATGTATTATTCAAAAATAATTTATAAAAATTTATAATTAATACGTATGTAAATAATTTAATACGTATCTTCACATTTACATTTACAGTAAACCCATCTTCACATTTACATATGTATGGTTTAAGGGTAAATTTTTTGATAAATGACTTAAATGATAAATCAAACCATCCATAACCTAAATTTTTTTACCCTTACATACGTATGGTTTAAATAATTTATAAAAATTATTGCCATACGTATGTAAAAATCGATTATAAAAATTGCAAAAATTGATTATAAATTTTTTTATATATAATAATAATTTATAATAATCAATTATATAATTTTTATAATTTTTAAAATTTTTACCCTTAAACCATATGTATGTAAATGTGAAGATGGGTTTACTGTAAATGTAAATGTGAAGATACGTATTAAATTATTTACATACGTATTAATTATAAATTTTTATAAATTATTTTTGAATAATACATACGTATTATAAAATGTGAAGATGGGTTTACTGTAAAAAATTTTAAATAAAAAATGTAAAGATTTAAATAATACATACGTATTATAAATTATTTTTGATAATTTATAAATTATTTTTGATTATAAAAATTTTTATCCTTACATACGTATTATAAATCAAACCATTCATAACCTAAAAATGATTTATATTTACGAAAATTATAAAAATTATATAATTAATTATTATAAATTATTATTATATATAAAAATTATATTATTTCAATGCTTGAGTGTTGTGGGTGTGCCCATTGGTGTGTGTGTCAGTGTGTGGGTTGGCTTTGGTTGGTGATTCAATAGTAGAAACGCCATTTCAAATGGCGTTTTTTTTAAAAAAAAAATAATAAATAAATTATTATATGCACAGTAAAAGCGCTATTTTAAATAGCGTTTTCTTCGGAAATTTTTTTTATGTTAAAAGCGCGATTTGGAACAGTGTTTTCTTAATTAAAATCGCGATTTCAAATAGCGATTTCACTATTCATCAACTTTTGGCCTTCTAACAGTAAAAGCGCGAATAGTAATGGCGCTTTAGCTTAGTTTTGGAATTCCGTCAGAAGTTGGCCTAGTTTTGGAAATAAAATGCAAAAAAGACTTATATTGGGAAAAGGCCCCAATGGAAGCCTTGAGGCACAAATAAGGAAAAATACATAATAAGGAAATAACAACTAATGACAACAAAATAGAATAAGCAATACATAATAACCAATATATTATTCTAACACGAATTAGGTGACTTAGTGTTAGTCATCTTCTCAAATTAATTTGTTCACCATTTGACAATTATAGAGCACATCTTGACACTTCATGAAAACTTGCTCTAGTCTATTTTTATCCGAAATAACAATATAGAAATCCTGATGATACACTTAATAACAAAAGGAAATACTTTATCGTGAATCACACTGAGATACATATATCAATATGAAATATCCAATATCCAATATCTACTTCTTCAGACCGTGTCTGTGAATATTATGTAGCTTTCAAAACAAAATTCTATAGCTGGTACATTATGAGCACTGTAGAGATGCACCAATTATACATGTGTAAGTACATGTAGTGTGAGCACTCTTCATACAAGACTTAGTGGAGGAGAAAAAAAAAAAAATGACAATAAATTCAGGGAACAGTGTGTCAAGCATTACCTAGTGCTGGTGTATAATGCGAATCATAAGCATTAGTCCAATTGCATCAAAACAATTTGGAAGGATTGAATTAAAGTGTTCATCAATTACCACAAATGGACCTGATGGCATCAAAGTAAAAGCAAATGTTAAACTAACATCATGGAACCAAATATTTCCTACAATGATAAAATATGATAACTCCAAATCATTGTTCTTTGGCAAGAAAATCATTTTTAGGGTCCAAATTTCAGAGGCAAAAAAAGTTTTCTGTTGTCATTGCAGAATTACTAGAAATTTCAAGAACAGTATATTGGCAGAAGATCTTCATACAAGGAAATAGTTTCTTGCCCAAGAGGTGTATACAAGAAGATTTTTAAAGAATGTAACAATTTGGATCCAATAAGATTCATCTCATACAAAGCCAGCCACTTATAACACTTCCATTTTTATCTACACTAGAGAAAATGGTTTATACCATACACCAGTACCTGCAAATATTTCATAAAATATTGATTCTTTCCCAAAGAAATCATCACAGAAAAGATACCTGTATAATGAGAAAAACAAAACGTCAATATGCATTTCTATGGTGCACTAAAACTTAAAATTACTGTCACAGTGGTGAATGCAGTATTGACTAGCATTTAAATACAATATCAAGTACACAGAGAACTAGAGTGTACTCAGAACTAGCAGTATCCATAAGCAGCTTGTGCAAGCTCCTAAATAAGACTTCATAAGGATACTTGCGGGAGCTGGCTTCAGCTATATGTGGAATCATTGCAGGTTCATCAATTTCCTGAAATAGTAAATATTCAACAATGAAACCTATTTCTCTAGAAAAATAAATATATAATAAAATATATACAATACATAAATAAAAATAAAAACATTTAGTACACAATCCAGTCTCCAAAATTCTAAATCACAGTTGTAAGAGAACTTATTCTTTTCAAAGAAAAAAAAAAAACACATGTTAGTATTACTGTAACAAGATACCAAACAAAAAGGACAAACCTATTAAAAAATTCATAACATATTTCCAAAAATCTAAAAATACATATTCTTATGTGGCAAGGTTTGCCAATGATGGTTCATCAAGATATGCACGGACGTATATCAGCAATACTCTCATATTTCCATATCCTTCTCTTTACTATATCTCTTCTAAATTATTTTCCTTTTTCCCTTTTATAGATAAATAAAATGTTACAGAAAAGAGAAGAAAAAAATAATCAAAGAGAATTCCTTGCCAGAAACTAAGGGAGTTAAAGCCAAAAAGAAAAACAGCTTAAAAATGAAAAGAGTGCAGACCAACAAAGGGAGACCTACAATCCACAAGCTACTTACCTGTACTACTCCAATGCCAGCCCCCTCCCGTTTTTTCTCGAAAACTATTTGTTGAGAAAGCCATCCCTCAAATTAACTTCTGCTAAATCCCATGTTAGGAAAAATGTCTAGTTAACTAATCATTTTTGTGATGGTAATTTCAGTCCAAAATTGAATCTGTAATTTTATCTTATTTCCTAGGCTTAGTTGAGTCTTGAAAATGTTCCGTAGTCATGCATCATCAAGACAACTTCAAATTCAAGCCTTAATCATACAAACAGACTCAGCTTCAGTGAAAAGGCAAAACTCATGCAGCATTAGCAGCATTTAATGAGTTTTATCTTTCTTAAGGTTTTTGGTTGGTGTATTTTAAGTGAATGACCAACCATAGCTAATTTAGTTTTGGACTATTAAAGAAACCATAAACTTAATTTTTAGGCTTATGTTATTTTTGTGTGCAAAGCAATTTGAAAGCAGATGGAAAATTAATTACTTTTATTTCCTATTATTCACTGAGAACGTAGGACCCATGAATTCATTACCAAAACATACTTGAGAGCCATGCAATCCATTGACCATAGCCTTATGTCACGCCCCGCTGAATTACCAAGACAGAATAAACTACAAAAAGGAAGTCTCAAGGAAGAAAGGCTGATGGAATACTCTAGAAGCTCCTGGAAGAACTTGAGAAAATATGAAGACCATACAGGATGCTGGAAGGTTCCAGAACTTTCTAGAGTATTGTAGAGTATTATACATAACTCTAGAACCTTGTACATAATACTTGTATATTCTAGAATAGTCTACTAGATGTAGTAGGAGGAAGTGTCTAGAACACTCTCCATCCTTTTAGTTCTAGAATGTTCATTTGTAACCTATAAAAGGGGGAGGCCCTCATTTGGCCAAACCACCCAAGTAGATCCAACCACCAAGAGTTGTAAGCTTTCTCTCAAGTGTGAATGCAAAGGCATTCTCTCAAACTCTCTTGTGTTCTTCTAAACTTCTCTTTCCTACAAGTGTGTGAGTTAGGCTGACTTAGCATCATCAAGTGAGACTTGATATTGTCTAAGTGCCGCACGGTTAGCTTGGAAACAACCAAGTCCGTGACAGTTGGTATCAGAGCCAAAGTTACAAAGGCGTCGTGACTAAGGAAGGAAGGGCACTATGTCGGAAGTAACTCACACCGAAGAGAACTGCGGAAGGGAGATTACTGCTGATTTGGGCCAAGGAAGCTAAGGATTCTAAGGTTCCAAGAAGCGGAGAAGCTAGAGGCAAGCCAACACTGGGCAAAGATTGGAGGGAGGATATGAAGCCCAGGCATGACTGCTTCCTTTGCCATGAACTACATTGGGCAAGGGATTGTCCTAAGAGGAGTCGTCTCATTGCAATGCTGGAAGAACTAGAAAAGGAAGAACAAGCATGCATGGGATCTCTACAGCAACTTGGTGCCACCGAGTCAAAGTCTTCCAAATCAAATACCGATTTCGGGCCACCATTTGTCCCACCATATGAATGACCCTATACAACATATGTAAGAACATATGTATGTATGTCGAAAGTGATAGAAACATGAAGTCAAAATAAAATAGCAGGCAGGTGATGTTTTGACATTGCCAATGTAATGTATGTATTCCCGTATGAATTCAAAGGATACATTAGAAAGGTAAAAAACTTTACCAGTTTGCTTGTCGCAACCTCTGCCATCTTGTGCAATAGAGACGTACCTGCATAAACACACACACACACACACACGCACACATATATATATATAGAGAGAGAGAGAGAGGGGTATTAGAAAATGAAAGAAAATATCTGCGCGTTCTCTGCGTAATGCACGCATTCGGCAAAACTAAAGAGCAATAATCAGCAATTTACCCTAAAATTTATGTTGCTAATCATCTAATTAGAATACGGAACAGTTCAATGAACTAGATAAAGAAATTTGGGTGAATGGTCAGAAATTCAACAGTCAGATCGGTCAAGATTAAGCCACAAACTTAAAAACGACAAGGGGTTTGAGCTAAATTTGTCACAAATTTTATTAAGAATCTATCTATGATCATAGTAAATAAGAGAGATGATGAACTGGAAACACAGATCGACGAAACAGATAACCTGACCTACAAATACAAATATATATGTATATATATATGTAAGTACAGATTATTCCCATATATAATCGAAAGATAAAGAGAAGGGGATAGAGGAGTTCACCGTCAATGAATTGAAGTGTATACGCGACCAGGGAACACTGTTGAATGGAGTTGAGATCAGTAAGATTGAACTGTAAAGCACCAGCACAACAAGGCCTCGGGTTAGGGGTGTCACGGCTCTACCGTGAATCGATAGAGAGAACGAAGAAAAACCGTCAACCTCTTTGGTTTTTTTTTTTTTTTTTTTTAAAAAAAATGCTAGTGTTAATATTTCTATCAAATGTTTGCGTCCCATGCCTATAGTAAAAATATTAATAAAATTTTTAACATTATTCTTTTTCTTTTTCTTTTTTAAGGATGGAATTATTAATAAAATTTTTAACATTATTAGCTTGCTTGGTTGTGTTTTTTTAAAAACACTTTTCACAAAATTTTATTTTCTTATTTTTCGTATTTTTTTGTTTTTATTGAATTTTTTAAATATTTTAAGCAATTTTTTAGTAAAAATTTGTGAAAAAAACCTTTTAAAAATTCACTAAATACCAAAAATACAAAAAAAAAAATACGAGAATTCAGTATATTTTTTATATTTTTATATATTTATTAAAATTGTAAAATATTTTTTCACAAAATTTTTACTTTTTAAATACATCTAAGTAAAGTGCATCTAAAAATGTAAAAAAAAATTTAAAATTTTAAAAATATTCACTAAAAACAAAAAAATACGAAAACCAAAAACTGAATTTTTAAAAAATTTAATCAAAAAACTCAAACAAAACACACTGATTCTTTTTCTTTCTTTTTTTAAGGATGGAATTAGATCATAGTGGGGTTAGAAATTTTTTTTTTGAGCGGTGCTAGCAGCTTACCATTTATTATTTGAGATCTCTTATTTTTTAAATCTCTATTTATAAATTTTGAAATTTTTAAAATTTCTTTTTTTCTTCTAAATAATACCAAAATTAACTTTATAAAAACACTCCACCCATTTAATTGAATGCACACCCTTCACATTCCAAAAAAACCTCTCCTCCAAAAATCCTAACAAAACTCACAAAGAATAAGAAGAGCCAAGTGTAATTACCAAGGACGGATCCAGGATTATGACTTTGGGGGGGCCAAAATACGTTTAACCTCTAACCAATAAAATTTGAAGTTCAATACCAATTTCTACTAACATGAAAAAAATCAATAATGTTACGATAAAATATTGAACTATATATTCTTTGTCAACATAGTTGAGTACCAAAAGATGATCATACAATTGAGATATTTTTTTTCCCATACTTACTTACAAAAAGTAGTAACTATTTCTACGTACATGCATTTATTTACTAAAATTAGACATCTTCAATTGAGCTCGACGCACTTTTATAATATCAAAAGCATGAATAATAGAGTCTACATCAAACCCTTAAGCAATGTCTTTTTCAGTGTACGTAATCAAGTAACTAGCCAGAAAACTATCTTCCATCCTATTGCGCAATTTAGACTTAACGAGTTTCATAGCTGAAAATGCACGTTCCGATGTAGCGGTTAAAACAGGTAAAGTAAACACAAGATGGATCAATCTATTAATAAGAGGATAACTTGTCAACTTTTTTGTCTTTGCCAACATTTGACACAACTAAAAAATGGCTGACAGCTTCTGAAACTTGGGAAGTATGAAAATATCAAGCTTATAGTTTTCCAACTAATACTTCAAATGCAATTTTTCTTGCTCAGAGAAATCCATGAGATAAAATTTATTTGCAAGATTGCAAATATCCTCAATTTTGAATGATCTATAACCATTCCTAGGATCCAAAGCTGAGCTAAGAACAAGCAATTCCATTACATCTTCCTTAAACCTATTGTTTAATTCTTGTAACTGAGAATCAACTGCAACCATGAAAATATCAACTCGAAAATAATGTTCCACGATGAGCTGATATCTTTCAGAACGAGACCGACCTCAGCCTCCTTTATAAGAACAACTCATATCAGGAATCTATATACCATGATAATTAGAAAATAATTTAATTTTCTCTAACAATGGAACCCATCCATCTTCTCTAAATTTTTTAATAAGTATCTTCGTTGTAGACACCAAATGCATTGCATTTAATATATCTTGAAATTTACTTTGCAAAGCTTGGCAAAGATCATCAGTAATCTCCATGATATCCCTCATAAAATGTAAGATGAAAACGAACTCAAAAGATATAATAGAATCATAAACTCCATCTGCCTCAGCTCGTTGATCCGATTTGCTTCCATCATTAATTATGTTTCTTAAGACTACACAAGTAGCACTGAACATGTTTATCAAAATACAAATGGAACCCAAATGAGAAGCCCATCGAGTATCTCTAGCCTGTTTCAATGTTCTAATCTGATTTTTTTCTTTACCAGTCTCGAATTCATCATCAATGGCAAGCTTTTCAGCAATATCTGTAGCCTGAGCAACTCTTAATTGATCATGTCTCTTGCAAGATGAGCCAACTATATTAATTGCTCGAGTCAAGTAAGAGAAAAGTTGATTGATAGATATAACCTGTTTAAATGCTCCTATTAAAGCCAATTGGAGCGGATGAGCAAAGTAATGAACATAATATGCGAATGGACACTCAGCACAAAATAGAGCCTGCAACCCAGTCCATTCTCCAAACATGTTATTGGCACCATCATATCTCTGACCACGAATATTTTGCACACTAAGGTTATGACGAGAAAAGACAATGCAAATTTTTTCTTTCAAAGTTGCCGACGTGGTATCTAACACATGAACCATAAAAAAGAAACGCTCTTTTATAAAACCATATTTATTAACAAATCTCAAAATAATTGCCATTTGCTCTCTTTTCGATTCATCTTCAGATTCATGAACTATAATGCAAAAATTCCCATCATTAATCTCCTCACGAATGAATTTTTGTATCTTATAAAAGAAAATACTAAGAATTTGCTTTTGAATCTCATGGGAACGATAAGAAGCATTTTGAGGAGCATTTTCCAAAACCACTGCTACCACATCCTCATTATAAGAAGCCAAGAGCTTTATCAACTCAATAACATTTCCTCGGTTGTTAGATTCGTGGCATTTATCACGACTTCTAAAGCACAGGCTTGGAATGTTAACCATTTAATCATATCTATCGAGGTCTTCAATTGCAAACGATTTCTAGCAATTTGTATGGAAGTTTGTTTTTCAACAATTGGCTCAATGTAATGCGCTTGATTTGTTAAATCACAGCAACATTTGACAGCAACTCTATGCGATGAGCTAGGATCCTTGCCCATATGCGATAACAGAGGACAATTCTTTCCTTCATTGACTTTCTTCCAAGAAGAAAATCCCTCGACCATAAAAGCACTAGATCCAGGATGTCCAGTTGGCTAAGTAAAAAGAAAACATGGAAGGCAAAACACACAATTTTTTGTTAGAGAGTATTCCAACCAATCCAGAAATAACTTGTACCAAGAATCTAAAAAACGACATCCATTCTTATCAGTTTCAAAAGGTTGATTGTTCGGAGTCTTGGGTTGATATGGCCCAGATTTGATATAAGCACGTCTGATCTCATCACGTTCAAGTACCGGGTAATCCCATATTTGTTGACGCAACCCCGAATCCCTTACCAAAGAAGATGTATCAACTTCTTTAGATTTGACTCTTTGAAGTTTAGAAGGATGTTGTTCCAGAGGAGTTGAAGTTTCAACATTATTGGTGGAACTTTGAACGATATTTTCAGAACCTCTTTTCTTAAAGAATGAATCAATTTTTTTGTTCGCCATGATTAACTTAACTTTCAATAATTATCATTCAACAACCTGAAAGCAATTAATTTAAGAATAATTATTATTATTATTGCACTATATTTTTAATGTAAATAGACTCAAAAAAAAACTTTCAGAATCGTATACAATCCTATCTTATTCCTAAAAGTCGTAAAATATATGGCAGCACAAAATTACATTTAGATTTTTATCCAAATTCTTAGAGGAAATCAACAAATCATAACCTAAAAGCCTATTCAATTATCAAGAAATCACACAGTACCTACCAATTACAATAAATCATAGTATTAAAAAAAAAAATTCACAATATTTAGTTAATAATTGTACCAATAATAATTATCAGATTTTCATCGCACCAATAACAAGTTAAAAGCAAAAGAATCACATTATTCAGTCTAAAATCACAATCAATCATAGATTCATAATAGTCAGTCTAAAAGCAGAATAATCACATCACATTAAAGCTGAAGGGATATCAGATAACTTACCAGATTCATAACTCTTTGTTTGTGAATATCAGATAACTTATGCCCCCACATATTATTTTATCTGATATCCTTTCAGATTCATAACTTATTTTTTTGTCAAACCACATTGCAACTCCTTACTCTTCGTTTGTGAATATCAGATAATTTCGTCTGAAGGGATATCCATGGTTCCACCATCCACGCCGACAGCTTTGACAAAGCCTCCACCAAACCACCGACAACAAAGCTTCTCCGTATCCCTCGTCTCTTTGCTCCTGTCTCTTTCGCAAAATCATAGCAAGTCTCTCAGATCAGATCAGTTGTTTTCTTTTCTTTTTTTTAATCTTAGTGTTTTGTTTAAAGCTTCTCCAGCAAGCCTTATAGCTTATATATTTGTAAAAGTTTCATATTTTACACTTTGATCCACTAAAGTTTCTAAAATTTTGCTTTCATCTTGACCTAATTTAAAAAATACATATACATGAAATTTAAAATAGATTATTATATATGTTAACTAATTCAAAAAAAAAAATCCAAATAGTTTTAAAAATTGGAGGGGCTACTCTATATAATTTTGAAATTATCTAAAAAAAAATTTGAGGGTGCAAACTCCTATACTTTTAAATTATTTTAAAATTTCTAGTATAATATATGATATTTTTCAAATTTTTTGGGGTGCGGCCGCCCTCGCCCCCCCTAGATCCATCCTTGGTAATTATCCCTCTCTTCCCCCTAGATCCATCCTTGGTAATCACCTCTCTCTCTCTCTCTCTCTCTCTCTCTCTCTCTCTCTCACTCTCACACCTCATCATTTTCTTCGGTGATTAATGTTCGGTTATCAGTTCCCGAACAAATAATGAATGTTCGGTTACTGGTTCCTGAACAAATAAACAATATTTGAGCATGTGTTCCCGAATTTTTGTTATATGTTCGGAAGTTCAGGCCCGAAAAAATAACGAACAAATTTTATTATTTTTGCCATTTTTTTTAAGAAACTTACCCTTACAAGGCCAATATTCTCCGAGCTAAGAACACCATAAAAACTATGAATTTCCTCTAAACTTTTATTGTTGTACCCCTCTCGTCTCATGGAGTTGTGGTTAGTTGTGGTTGCCAAAAAAACTTCCACTTGCTATCATTGCCGGAGAAGTGTGAGTAATTAAATAGTTGCTACTGTTATCGCCAGAATATTGCCGCCAAAGGGTTTCAAGGTTTTGAAAGTGGGTAAGTTTTGAATGTGAGATTTGGAAAAGATGGATGAGTGGTGATGGAAGTAAGTGCTCTCATAAACCCTACTTCACAATGTAGTGGTGTGTGAGTTTAATTATGAGATGGGGTATCCCAAATTAATAATGTCCTTTTTAATAATTTTATTTGAGGTTATTATTGTCATAAAAAATGAGTTAAAAATTGAGGGATCTAAAATAATTCATGGAGTGCTAATAGCAACACTCTTTTTTAACAAAAAGATAGAAAAGCTTACAGTTTTTCACTTGTAATTCCATTATAACATTGCTTGCACCTATATGTTTTTGTAATATTTTTTTTTTTTATATGTCTCACTGTATTGTAAGTTTTCTTCCTTTTTTTTAATTATAAATATATTTTTAAATTTGTTTAAAATATAAATTGTCTTTTATAATTTTTTATTTTATTTTTAGTTTTTTGTTTATATTCACAAAAAAATTTAAAACTAGTATAAAAACTTGTTTGGTAATTTTTTTTTTTAGTTTATAAATAGTTAGTATTATTAGTTTATAAATAACGATGAAAAAAAAAATACAAAAAAGACGTTTCTAGTTTTTAAAAAACCAGAAATGGAGAGCAAAAATACGGAAGGAAAAAAAAAAAAAAAAACAAAGATTGACTGTAGGTGTGACGCCCCAAAAATTGGGAATATTAAAGAATATAATAACAAATAAATACAGGGTTTATCTAAGTTTACAAAATAGGAAACGTCACTAATGAGTCCTTTGATCAATAACCAAGTAAGATTCTAGGAAGTTCGGAGGAGTCAAAATAGCCTCACTTCTAAGTTCAACCACCTTAGATAGCAAAACTACCTTTTTGATAGATCTTAACAAGGTATTAGCGCAAGGCCTACATGAGTTGACGGAGTATAATGATAGGTTACAAATGTTATATATAAAAATTACAAAATCATGTATTCAAATACAACAAGTGATTAATCGCTTACAATCTCATAATCGTGTTTACAAAACTAGTTCCTAACTCTCATAGGATAGCCATACGTCTTCAAATACTTCAATGTTGCCTTCGATCGATCTAATAGTCTTCAATACCTAGCATGAAACGTCATGAGCTTTGAATGCCCAGTAAATACGCACACACCCCGTCCCTTTTTCCCAATTCAATACGCCAACGTATTTATAACAAGTAAGTAGTGAAGCATGATATTCAAGTCAATAACAGCAATTTCAATAACAAAGGAAAGGAACATGACATTCAAATAGATAACAACGGCTACAATGTTAGTGGTTAGTATTCTAGAAATCCCTTAAAGAGATTTCATCCTCCCAACCACAAGAATTGGGCTCGGATTATTCGGAATACCATCTCTTTTGCTGATTTGCAGATCCTACCCTGGATGCCTACCAACGGTTATATATCGCGTAGCACCAACTGAGGACCTCAAAAGAGACAGTAAAATAAGGACCTTGCCCGTAACCTCCTCCAACCTTATCCATCATAAGCATCTAGGGTCCGAATACAACCGATCCATTCAAGGGTTCCGATACAACCGCTTGCGCAAGACTTTCCTTCAATTAAGAAACACATCCCACCAATCCATGCATAACACATTATCATCTCTTCATTATTCAAGTGATCGAAAACCCAATACCAACCCAATTAAGTTTCCTGTTAAGTTAAAAGTTTTAAATTAAAGTTAGAACAGCTTACCAAGGTAGTAATATCCACATAAGTATGAGCACCATCAAATGAAGAAGATAAGGAACATAACCATAATACATGTAATATCATACCAAGACATTTCCATATACTAATAAGCATATTCATAAAGTCAAGAGCACAAAA